CAAGTGTAATAATAATAATAAATTAAGTGCGTAGGTCGTCGATGCCCGAAAGAAGCTGTCTGCATTTGGGGGAGGGAAGCATATGATATACTCCGCACATGCCCATCAGTCCAGTGAGTAAAACTCATGAAAAAGGAAGCCGGGCATCATCAATGCATGGCATTTTGAGCTTGACGGGACCTTTGCCGTGGCTAACAAGGCTCCCGGATGAACTTCGGGATATACCAACCCCAGAGGGTTCGAGGACATTGCTGAATCATGGGGAGACTCCGCGGTAATTTTCTAGAGTTGCAAATTCCTCATGTTTCATTGTATTTGAAGAGCATGATTTGCAAAAATACAGTGTCATGTGTCACACTAGTCCTTTTTTAACACGGCCTGTTTCGTCTTTCCCAAAAGGGAAAGGGGTTCTCCGGGCTTATCGATAAGGACATGTCGTTTCCCCAATGTATAAATCCGGGGCAGACAAAACTACTTTCTTCATATATTGCCAATTGCTTTTCAAAAATGGCTAAGCTTGTGCACTCCCTGTCTTCTGGCTGGTCCTTCAAGGACCGAGACACAGATGAATGGCTGCCAGTACCTACGGTCCCATCCGTAGTACAACAGGATCTCATTGCTAACAACAAGTGAGCTGTTTTTTTCCCCCAAACCAAATGATTTCAATCTAATAGTATTCTCTCAATAGGCTTGATGATCCTTATATTGGGTTCAAAGAATTGGATGCCCGCTGGGTCAACGAGAAATCATGGGTCTACCGAAATGTGGTAGAGAAGCCATCCGCTCCCGCCGGCTCTTCCATTATCCTGGTCTTCGACGGTCTCGATACATTTGCCAAGGTCAAACTGGATGGGCAAGTGATCCTGGAGAGTGATAACATGTTCCTGGGTCACCGGGTGGATGTAACCAAAGCATTGGAAGCCGAGGGCGAACACACACTCGAGATTGAGTTCGATTGTGCACTCATCAAAGCACGCGAGCTCCGTGTCCAGGATACCACACACAAATGGGTCGGGTTCAACGGCGATCCATCGCGTATGGCTGTGCGGAAAGCCCAATATCACTGGGGCTGGGACTGGGGTCCAGTGTTGATGACTGCGGGCATCTGGCGTGCCGTTCGATTCGAGGTGTATCAGGCCCGCGTGGCCAATCTGTGGCCCCAAACCCAGCTCTCTGCAGACTACCAGACAGCTGAGGTGACGGCTGTTATCGATGTGGAGAGCGTCAGTGAAGGGGAATATACGGCCCAGGTTAGCTTAGGCTTGAAAGGGAACGAGATTGCAAGCAAGACTATTCCCGTATCTGGGAAGACCACTCAAGTATCATTCCCAGTCGACAAGCCGGCTCTGTGGTGGCCCCATGGATATGGCGAACAGACCCTGTACGATGTATCGGTGTCGCTACTTCGCAACGGTGAACAGGTTGACCAGGCATCTAAGAAGTTCGGTATCCGGACTGCCGAGGTAGTTCAACAACCTGATAAGCACGGCAAATCCTTTTTCTTCCGAATTAATGGAATGGACATCTTCTGCGGCGGTTCATGTTGGATTCCGGCGGATAGTCTGCTCCCTGCTATTAGTGCCGAGCGGTACCGCAAGTGGATTGAGCTTATGGTCGCTGGCAGACAAGTGATGATTCGGTATGTTGCTTTTTCTTTTTTAGTCTAGGATTTACGTGGGTTTAGCTGACGTTGAACAAGTGTCTGGGGTGGTGGTATTTATGAAGACGACTCCTTCTATGAGGCCTGCGACGAATTGGGAGTGCTGGTCTGGCAAGACTTCATGTTTGGATGCGGCAATTATCCCACATGGCCCACGATGCTCGAATCTGTCCGTCAAGAGACAATCTACAATTTGGAGCGTATGCGCCATCATCCTTCGATTGTGCTCTATGCGGGTAACAACGAGGATTATCAGGTTGCAGAGTCTGAAGGCTTGACCTACAACTACGAGGACAAAGACCCAGAGAGCTGGTTGAAAACAGATTTCCCCGCACGATACATTTATGAGAAGCTGCTTCCTGACGTGGTGGCTGAATACTCGCCCGGCACATTCTACCACCCTGGAAGTCCATGGGGAGATGGCAAGATATCGTCAGATGCAACTGTTGGTGATATGCACCAGTGGAACGGTATGCATTCCCCAACACACTTCGAGTTATTGCGCTAATCACTAGAGTAGTATGGCATGGAACGCAGGAGAAGTACCAAATCTTCGATACTCTCGGCGGCCGGTTCAACAGCGAGTTTGGAATGGAGGCATTCCCCCACCTCTCTACCATTGACTACTTTGTCGAGAACCCAGAAGACAAGTTCCCTCAATCCCATGTGATTGACTTCCACAACAAGGCCGACGGTCATGAACGAAGACTGGCGACGTACCTCGTAGAGAATCTACGGACCGCCACAGACCTTGAGGTATGACTCCCACCATGATGACCCTCGATTCACGCTAACATCTCTAGACTTACATCTACCTCACTCAAGTTGTACAAGCAGAGACCATGATGTTTGGTTACCGAGGCTGGCGCCGGCAATGGGGCGATGAGCGACACTGCGGTGGTGCACTGCTCTGGCAGCTGAACGACTGCTGGCCGACAATCTCATGGGCCATCGTGGACTACTTCCTCAAGCCGAAGCCCGCATACTACGCCGTCAAGCGCGTCATGAACCCAATCGCCGTCGGAGTCCGCCGTGAGCACCACGACTGGAGCGTGGCACATGCCCAGCCACCCAAGACCAGCAAGTACGAGCTTTGGATTGCCAGCAATCAACCAAAGACCGTCCAAGGCAGTGTCGAGCTGCGATTCCTATCGGTCAACACCGGCCGTGATATTCGGGCTCCTATCGTGCACGAAAACGTCACCATTACTGCCAATGGCACCACAGATATCATCACTGATGGTGTTATCGACCACATCGCCGAGCGCGAACCGCATGTGCTCGCCGCCCGGTTGTGGGTGAATAATCAGGTTGTGGCACGGGATATCGACTGGCCACAGCCATTGAAGTATCTCAATCTGTCCGATCGACAGGTCGAGGTTAAGAAACAGACAGGGAAATCTGGTGAGACGGTGTTGGTGATCAGTGCCCGCAAGCCGGTCAAGTGTCTTGTATTTGAGGAGCAAGAGGGTGTACTGCTTGGAGACAACGCTATTGACATTGTCCCTGGCGATGAGCAGACAGTCATTGTTACTGGTCTTGGAAGTGAGCCTCTGAAATACCGGTACCTGGGGCAACCATCTTGCGAAGTTGTTGAATGAGCTATGAGCTGTTGAATGAACTAGTACCTATACTATATAGCAGTGGAAATAATTATTTCAATGAGCAAAAGCACTTCAAAATGCCCGATATGACAGTTGTAAATAACCAACTAGCAATAGTTAGATACATGTAGATAGTGAACCTGTGGACGTTGAAAAAGAGGATCATCTCATATCTTATCGGAGAGATCGGGGAGATCTGAACTTAACAACCTCCCAACTTTTTGCCAATGGGTACCAAACGCGACTGGGAAGGCCAGCCACTCGAGCTAAATTCTAAAGATACAAATAAAGATACGATCATGGCCGAAGCAGAGTCAGCTCCTTCAATCCTCTCAATCTTTGAGAACTTCCGCGACGAACTGGACGAGCACCATGATCGCCGCGAGCGTATTATCAAGAAAAGCCGCGACATTACCGCCCTGAGCAAGAAGATGTATGCCTTCCACCTCACCTCAAGCTGAAGAAGAGCATCACTAACTGAGAGATGTCTAGTATCTTCGCCCTTCAACGAGTCCGCGCAACGAACCAACCCCTCCCACCCAAAATCGCCCAAGAAAACCAAACCCGCTTCGATCAAATCCGCGAGCTGTTTGAAGCTGTCGTCCCCGAACAACTAGGCATCAATGGTTGGCGATACCAGCGCCAAATCAGCGCCGGAATTCAAGAATTCATCGAGGCCATCTCCTTTGACCACTACCTACGCACACAAACGCTCATCACTCACGCCGAGTGCTCCGCCCGCATCCCACCACAAATCCTCGTTTCAGAAGAAGACTACCTAATGGGCCTGTACGATCTCACCGGAGAGATGATGCGCTTCGCAGTTCTTTCACTGAGCTCTGGAAACGCAACCGCTATCCAAACGAGCGAGAACACAGCAAACGAAAGCGAGAAATCGACGGTCGCTTCGTCGCAGGGTGGCATTGTGGTTGATCTACGTGCTATGCGTGCAGGGTTTGAGGCACTCAGTGTGCCACCCCGGCATTACATGTTCCGGGATATGGCGAAGAAGCTAGATGTGATGCAGAACAGTGTAGAGAAGGTTGAGCGGGCGGCGTATGGGATTGTCGTTCGTGGGAGTGAGAGGCCGAGTGGATGGACACCTGATCTGTCGGCTGCCGTGGAGGTGTCATCCTACTAAAAAAAAAAAAAAAAAGAAATATCATGAGGTATACAGCAATGATCAATGGCTTTTAAATGACCACAGTGCATTGATGTAGTCTGTTATAGTTCGGGGGTCAGGTAGGATTTACATGGCTTTCCATCTGCCAGGAACTATATTTCTGTAGTAATGTGATCAAGTCTTTTGCTATATCCATACCCCAATATTACCCCCATTAGTGACTTATTCCTACATTTTTTGGATCGAAATCGCATATTTCCGTATTTGACATGGCTATACAGGTAGCGTCACGGTGACATCACCAGTTGAAAATGGTAAAGACTGTAGAAAAAAACTGTAGAAAACACCCATTGAACATTGAAGTTGGGTGTAAGAAAAGACAATCAAAGAACCAAAGAAGAAAAACGCCATCATAAAAAACGATCGTGTCACCCCATATCTCATAGCACCAAGAGCCAAAGCCGTGGCAATGTGAACTCCATAGAGCCACAATCAAAAGGGGGAGCGGGGGTTCTCATCCTCGGAGAGAATGCCCTGCGAAATCAGATCTTCAGGTTGTGGCCGATTCTGAATCTTATGTTCGAGGTTATCGGCCAGCATATGCTTCTCGAGTTCACGGGCATGGGCCTGTAACGCGGGGGGCCGCGGAGGTTGCGGGGAGGATATTACCTTGGCGGGGTTGTTAGTATACTGAGAGGAATCCCAGGTACCAATCTCAGGTACAAGATCAAGTAGAAAAATGAGAACATATCAAATCATAATGAAAAAGAGAAAAGGAAGGGGAACAAACGCTCAATCAGCTCGTCCTTCTCAGGTCTCTTCTCCAGGTTCCTCTTCAGACTGTCTGTAGCACGCTGGCGGTCGAGCTCCTGGCGGGCGGATTGAAGGGCTCTGTCATTGTGTTAATCATATCTCAAGAAACTGGACAGTTTCCCGGAAACACCCACGGGGCTACATTGGTGTCCAGCAGGATGTGGCGGTTCTTGAGGTCCTGTATTTCAGGGCGGGTTTGGAGGTGTTTCTCCAGCGAGTTGCGACGCTCGTGGGTAGGGGGAAGGGACTGTTCAATGGAAGACATTGTAGCAAGGTAGTGATATTCAAAGTGTTCCAAGTGTTCCAAGTATTATTAGGAGGTGAGATAGAGAGGAAGGAGAGGGAAGTATTTAAACGCCGGAGAAGGCGAAAGTCAAGTGATGTCCCGTGGGACAATCACGCGGGGAAAGCGGCGGTCTATACATCGACATCATAGAGACAACGACCTACTATAACTACATATGTACTACGACAAGGGGGGAAAAGTCGAAGAGTAAATTGAATTCACTGGGATAATCTGGGATAATCTGGAACTGGGATACTAGTAGATCATAAAATTAAAAAAAAAGGTACAATCCACTTTGATACCATCTCCCAGCGCAAAAAAAAAAAAAAAAGAAAAGCAACCGTCCCAACGTCTCCGCAATTTGACGATCTCCCATCTCCGTCTCCTAAGGAAAGGGTGAAAAAGGGGGGGAAAGGGGGAGGGCACAGATTTTCCGAAGTAGACATATCCAAGCAGCTCATCACAGCCGCGGGTTGAATCCACCATGGGATTCATGTCCTTTCGTGTCCGAGATCCGATCATGCCGGGGTTCTGGGATGGTTTATGCCGGGGGAAGAGGGAAAAGACACACTCTGCAGGCAATCAAAGCAAGACAGATCACCAGATCCAGATCCCCCGCATTAAGGGGGGAGTTGTTGCAGTCCAGCAAAGAGAAAAGAGACACCCCTGTCCGGTGCAGGATGCATTGGTTCACAAAACACTCCGGTCTACTATCATCAACAGATGACGTGGATAGACCGTTCTGCCCGTGTTAATCAAGGAACCCAGAGTTTACCACGGCCACGACCATTGCCCCGTGCACCGCGCGAGGATCCACCACGGCGACCATTGGATGAGCGACGAGAGGCTCCAGCATTACCGCGGGAGGCACCGGTGGCACCGGTGGCAGCCTGTTGGGTGCTCAAGTCTACAGTGTGCGGCTTGGTTGCACCACCCAGAGACCGGCTGAAAGAGTCCGGGTCAATAGGCTTGGTAGGAACTTCGACAGTGATAGTAGGCTCAACAGGAGGTGGCGCAGCCTTCGCGGCAGCCTTCGGAGCAGCCTTTCGTTGACCCCCCACCACGCGAGGCACCTCGGGGATTCCCTTTTCCACGACCGCGGGGAACAAATACTAGCTCATCCTCGTCGCTCTCTTCCTCGTAGGACAACAGGGTCTTCGGCTCGGCGGGTTGGGTCTGAGTCTTCTCAACATATTTGCAGCGGTTTTTGTACTCACGTTCCTCGTACTGGATAGCGGTGCGTAGCTGCAGAATGTTCTTGACACCAATGCCAAACTTTTGAGCCCACACCTGGGTCGCACGGTCATTGGAGATCAGAATGCAAGTCTTGGCCGAATTCTCTGCATCGGGGCCGGTATGCAACCGCCAGAGCAGAGCGCTCAGCAATGGGCGCAGAGCGGGCGGCGCGGTCGGGATGACGGATCCGGAGGTGGTGCGCTGGTGGGTAGAAGCTTTGCTCTTGGCCTTGTTATTCTTGGCTGTTCCATTGCTGGACTCGTGCTGGGCGCATTCGGGGCTGGTACGGGAGCTGCGAGAGGATGTGCGCGATCCAGGTCCGCTGGGGGTGCCGACGGAGGTGATCGACACAGCCTCCGGGTCCTTCTTGAAGTTCAGCTTGGACAAGAGCATTTGCGACAGATCGTCCGACTCGTTCTTGGTCAAAGTATCCTTGGCGCTGGGTTCGGTCGCTGGCTCTTTATTGTCAAGTGCCTCGTCAACTACCTCGGGCTCCTCTTCGAACTCCGGCAGGAAGAATTTCTCGGCCTCCTCCCAGCGCTCGTATTGTTCCATAGGGCCCTGGAGGACAACTCGGTCGGCAGCGATGTGATCCTTGCCGGAAGTGACCCGGTCAAGAAAGCGAACTGCTTCGCGGGCGTTGATGGCGACCTGTGATCCCGCTCGCTTCAGCGCATGGAGTCGTTCAAGTGCTAATTAGAGAACAATGGTTAGATCGGCAAGCGCGCTGAAATGAGGCAATCAGAGTCTCCTCAACATTCGGATACTTACTGTAAAGAGGCACCACGAGGTCGATAGCACCATTAGTGGTCCATTTCTTGATTTCGCTAATATTGGTGGACAAGGCCGTCTCGTCCACGGCACATCGGAAGACCTTGCGTCCGGTCGACATGGCAGATATTGAACGAGTGTATTCGTGTGTTCGTAGTGAGTGAGAGGTACAGGTCAAAGACCGCCCTATATCGGAAGACTAGAAATGTAGACAACCGCGACTGAATCGGGGCCGGTCAGCACGGGCCTAGAGCTGAGGAAGGAGGTTTGATGATGGAGGGACCTGGGAATGTGGGGGGGGAAGAGGGAGGAGTGGGACGTCGGTTGATAATGCCGGGATTATTTTCACTCACGATGAGAATCCAGTTGACAGGATGTTTCCATCTGCAGCATCTTTGTAACAGTACAGTCTGCTTGGGGCCAAAGAACACACCTTGAGAAATGATGCGATGGCAGAGACCTCTGGAAATATGCTGACTAAGCGGGCTTCAGGAACAAGGCCGAATTTAAAAGAGAGAGAAATGAGGGTTTCTATATATCGAAGAGGGATACAGTCTAAGAGTAGAGAGAAAGAAAGAGAAATAAAACAATCATTTTCGTGAAGAAAAGGGTTCCAGAGCCATCTTTCCGGCCTATGACTTCACCTTCTTGATGAGGCCATCCGATTCCTTCACTCGTTGCGCCCACTCACTGGTTTCGATGTTCATATTAGTACTAGTTGCAACATTTAGATTACAGGGGAAACTTTATATACTTACGTCCAGCTGCCGTCATATACCCGACGCAGGTTTGGGTCGCCATATTCCGCCTCACTCAGGGCTGTCTCAATGATGGAGGCAGTCACGCCAGTACCGCACGAGCTGATGATTGTTTGGTTTGGATCCACCTTGTGGGCCTCAAACACCTTTCGCAGGTCTTCAGCAGGGAGATAGGCTTTTGTTTCAGGATCCAGCAGCTCTTGGAAGGGCAGGCTCTTGGAGCCAGGGATATGACCCGATGACAGGCCAGGGCGCGGCTCTGGGTCAGTTCCAGCCCAACGACCATAGGAGCGTGCATCTAGGATCTCTATTTCCTCTGCACCCTCTTTGCCATAATCAAATGCCAACTCCTTCATCTCCCGGAAGGAGATCACTAGACGCGAGTCGTATGTTGGAACAGGGTACTTGGACTTCTCCACCACTGCTGGCTCGCCGCTCTCAGTCGGAAGACCTTCTTTGACCCAGAGACGATAGTTGTTGAGGATGTGCACATTAGAATGGCCAAATACGCGCAGCGTCCAGCCTACACGGGGTGCACTGAATATTCCTACCTCGGCAGTGTCATAAACTACCACCGAGTCATCGCGACGGATCCCCAGCTCACTCATGGCCTCGGCAAAGGTCTCGCAGGTGGGCAGCATGTGTGGATAGGGCGAGTCTTGATCTTTGATGGCATCAAGGTCAAAGAATCGGGCCTGGGGGATGCGTGAGTTGCGGAACGAGTCAATTCCCTTGCGACCCTCTGGGTCGTTCGGCATGAACCATGCTGCACAGAGGGGAATCACGCGGGGGGAAGTTGAGATTTTTGTCGTGGGGTTCTTTTTGAGGGCTTCATTCAGCTGCTTTGGTGTCACTAGATACGAAGAAAAAGAGACATTGCGCTGAGTATGGAGCCCTGTGGAGATGGACATGTTGGGGCGGAAGAGACGAGCAGGAGCAAAAGATCTGGCTGCGAAAGCCATGGTGGAGAGAGAGAAAAGGAGCCTTTTAAAGACCAATTTACATAACGAGGCAGCAGAGGCTTAGGGAGATATGCAAAATGCAAGTCAGACCAACGAGTAAGAGGAAGCGGAAGGGCAGGGAAGAGCAATAAGAGGAGTACTATTGCGTGTTATGGCGGCATATGTGGAGGTCCACGGTGCGGAGAACATGTGATAAGGCCGATAAGAGATAAGCGTCGGCTGTTGACCGATGCTTTTCCCTCTTTCACCTCATTCAGCTTGGCTCTCCACTATCCCACCCTCCACAATGAAGGTCGCCATTAAAGAATGGAATGCCGTTGCTACTTGGCACTGGGATATTCCCGAGGATGAAGTGTGTGGTATCTGTCGTGTTCAGTTCGATGGCACTTGTCCAACTTGCAAATTCCCCGGTGACGACTGCGCGCTTGGTGAGTGACATTTCCTACTCCCAACTCCATGCTGAATACTGACTATGATGATTGTTATAGTGCAAGGAAGATGTAACCACGCGTTTCACATGGTAAGACTGCGGAATGGACATTTGAAGCTAGGACTGGACTGATCAACCCTTTTGAAACAGCATTGCTTGATGACCTGGATTGACTTGGAGTCTTCCAAGGGACTATGTCCAATGTGCCGACAAAGTATGCATTCTCTGAATTGTCTCAGTGATACCGAGCTAACTTTTCTCCAGAATTCGAATGGAAGGACAAGGAATAACTGTATAATACGTGTGTCTGTGTGTGTGTTTTTTTTTTTTCCTTCTCATCAATGGTTATCAAGGCGTTGTCGGACGAATTCGAGATACCCCTTTGTGTTTTTATCGGGCATTCAAACTTGAATTGGAAGAGTTGATGGGACCTCAGTCTCAATTGAGCATCAAATTAATGCCGTGGTTGGAGAGACTATCCTCAATTGGTCAACACGGGATCCCACCTGGGCAGTTTATACTTCATCCTTCCACAACAAGGCTATTCCTACTAGGACGACTATTATTCACGTGTAATTTTAACTTTTTTGGAGTAGAGTATTGTACTTACAGGTTGTATAGGCACATCATGTCTATCTTGTTTGATGTTCGATATGTCGATATATATACTTGCAGATCGAGCCATCGATAAGTCAATGTAGATCATACCCTGGTAACCTATCATGTGACATTCTATAATTTTCAAGAAGGGAGAATGAAAGCGACACCCTGGGAGATAATAAATCTACCAATATAAAAGTCATTTAATAACTACATGCGTCTAGGTACAAGTTCAACTACCTAGGTACACACTTCTCGTACGATCGTCACGTGGCGCTATCGATAAGAAGCTCTCCGCACGCGATACAGAACTTCATCCTATCCTAAGCTCTTCTCCAGAATGATGTAGCCTCGGCTTATGGAGATGTCTCTGAACAACTCTCCCTATCATCCTCCCCTGTCCACTTCTTCATCCCGGCAGTCCCTGCACAAGGAAATACCCTCTCGGCCTGGCACCGCCTCTTTGCGGCCAAGTGATCGACACTCAAGAGGGCAACTGCCGGAGGGCCGCCCATCAACAGACGAAACCCACCAACTCCCAAGAACAATTGAATCGCCTTCCCAAGATGCAGCTTTGGATGAACCTGAAGACCACCACGAGGAAGGGCAAGAACAACCTCTCTCACACCCCGCATTCCAGCCGTTCTTCACTTTGATCGAAGACGCCCATACCTCAGACTACCACCACCCAACGGTCCACTACATATTCTCTGACGATGACACCGATATTTTGACAGAGGCAGCATTACGTAGTTTGGCCGCACAACAAGAAGCCCTCTCCGATTCCAAGAAAGACCAAATCGCGCAGACCCAAGCGTCCAATCTGCAGGACGAGATCAAAGACCCGTCCGACCCAAACCTAGCCAAGACCACCCTACTCCCACCTCCCGTTCCAGGCGTCCGGGATAACTATGTCATCCTCGACGTAGAACCCTCACCACACACACCCGAGGCAGCGCAAACTAGTCCGATAACTGAACAGCTAGCACCAGGCAAAGGCGGAGGTGGGACAAGGTCCATATCCACGTCGCCAGCGAACACTTCCCCACTCCCACAAGATCAGGGCCAGCTACACCCACAGTATCGCGTTACTGCGGCGCAGAGCTTCTCATCAACATGGCAGGTCCTCAACACAGAAGTGGTGCCAGCGCCCACTTTCGAGAATAATAATCCTGGAGAGTTACCAGGACATGGGTTGATGCTGAAGATCCGTGGCACAGGTGGGCTGCCGATCAAGGTGGGTGGCAAGGAGAAGGAGAGCACACTTGAGGAGATGATGGATCAGTTTGCGAAGCGGATGAGCGAGTTGCAGGTTATTATTGATGCTGCGGAGGATACGGATTCGAAGGAAGAACACGACGAGGAAGAACTCGTGCAGCATCCCTTCTCTCCAGACACAGCCAAAGAGACTATTCAGGGTGAGGGAGACAGTGCCGCTTATGCTGCAGAACATGAGGCGGAACACTCTTGATGATTTATTATTCCTGTTTTTTTGGCGCCTCACGTGGAAATCATCGGTGTTTGTATTAAATCTAGCCTACATAGACTAGTGCCGGGTGAACCTCATGAATATACTTTGAATACAAGACGAATCAACCCAAATGGAGAGATCAAGTATGGTATTAGGATCGTATTTCACATCCTTATAGGAATATCAATGTAGCCAAACCAGAAACGCCAAGTACAATCGCCTTTCTATGGCATTTAGACAAAAAAGAGATACAAGAGAATGTCCAACCCAACACTGTTTTCTCAGCCAAAAACTCCAACCCAGAGTGGAAAGCCCAGCGACTATCGGGTATCAAAAATTGTCAGAAAAGAAGAGCAAAACAAAAGCGCGGACAATAACATGGAATGCACCTAATCAGAGGTGCGGTTTCTAAATCTTCGGCCACTGGCAATGGCTGAGGGGGCCATGTTTTCACGACCCTCCTTCATGCCAGCCATCCTTTTTGAGAGCATAGTTTTGGGGAGTTTTGTTTCGGGGATGCTGTTTGAATTCGAGCGGCGCCGTTTGCGGGAAGGTTCTGGCTCTTCCTTTTCTGGCGTTTCGTCCAGGTCCATGGATGTGACCAACGCTGGGGTTTCCAGCTTGGTGGGAGGTAGTGCGTCGTCACCATCAGACACGACCGGTCTGGCGACGTTTAGGTCGACTTCTCTAAGGCCAGTGTTGGAAGGTGGGGCTGCGGATGATGGAAGAGAATGGCCTACCTCTTCCGGGGTATCATTATACACGAACTTCTTGGGCGGTGAAGCTTGGGGCGAAGTGGGAGCAGGGGAGTCCTGTTGTTCCTCCTCACTGAATGGCAGGGCGGTAAACTGCTTGGATGTCCGATGTCGAGTGCGAAGACCGTCATGAGCTTCCGTTTGAGGCATTTCCGAAGGGTACTCGTATCGTCGTTTCTGAGGGGTTATACCTGTTGGGACATACTCTTTCAGGGGGTGGTTCTGGATGTTGGACCGCATTTCCAAAAGTGGCTGGCGGACTTCAGCGTGTAGAGGTGCAGTGGCTTGTTCCAGGTTCTCGGTATGCATATCGACATCATCCTGGAGTTGCTCGACTCGCCCAGTGAACCCATCGAGTTGCCCATAGACGTTTGAGCGGGACTCTCGGGCGTTCTTAACCATGGCATTCAAACTGCCGAGGTGCGATTCATGGAAGCGGCCATTTTGGGATCGTGCTTTCGCAACGAAGTCATCCAAAGCCTCCATTTGTGTACCCATGTCGCTCATTTGAGCGTCAACAATCCGCACAGTTTCCTGGTGCACAGACTCCGTTGCCCGATGAATGGAGGCATTACGCTGGTCGAAAGTCTACTTTCGTTAGCCTCCTTTCGCAACCTAAAGATGTCAGGCGGTCTTACCTCCCAGTCATTTTGCATCCTGGTTTTGATTTCATCCTTGGATGCAGTGATGTCCTTGGCAAACTGTTCCTCCTTGAAAATCCATTCATCAATATGTCTGTCGTGCTGCGCAGTTGCTTGCTCAAGAGAGTCGCCTGATGCCGAAATGTCGGTGCGAAGGGTATCAAATTTGCCCTTGAGACGGTTGTTCTGTTTATGGCTTGAGTCCTCGAGGAGTCCCCGAATTTGAGACATAAGGTTTTCACGCTCGGCTTGTGCACTCGCATGTTCCTCTTCCAGAATCTGTGCTAGATTGGATGAAGCCTTTCTATTGGCCTCCACCGTCTGGCGGTTAGCTGCCTGGAGCTCGAGACGTAGTTTGTGGACCTCGGATTTCTGTTCGTCGAGGTGCTTTGCCATGTCTTCGAACATGGTTTTGAAGTCCTTACCGAGTGTGCTGTATGACGAGTGAAGTTGGGAGTGGAACTCCGAGAACTCCCCAATAACCTCTTCGGAGATTCGAGCAGCAGCAGCTGACAAGCCATTCAGGCCTTCGCCCACTTTGGACTTAACTTCTTCTCGAAGGACCTTGATCTCCTCAAGAACTTCATTCATCTCGTTGTGAGCAGTGGATGTGTTATTCTTGGCCTCTGCTTCGGCCTTGTCAAATGAGGCATCAAGATCCTTAAGGTGGGAGCGGGTAGACTGTACAGTGTCCAGTTCATGGTCTACGAATTGGTGGATTTTGCCAGACATCTCCCCGAGCAGCTTCGCATGCTGCGTCTGGAAGATTTGTATGCGAGCATCCACCCGATCTGTGACATGCGATACCTCACCGGTTGAGGTCTGCCAGGTTTGGCGGTTGTCAATCTCCAGGTTATCTTTGCGATCCAACTTCGCGTGCAGTCCATTCACGTCCCGAATGGTACCGTTTAAAGTAGTCACTAGGCCAGCACCAATGTGACGAAGTTGCTTTTCCGTATTTTCATGGGCCTTCCGCACAATCTTCTCCTCGTCCAGCTTCTCCTGGGTATCCTTCCAAAACCGTTCTGTTTCGTTGAGAACTTCACGTGTTTCTTTGAGCTTGGACTGAGTATCTTCATTGTCGTGCTTTAATGAGTTGAAGT